GTAATCTCAGCACTCTGGAGGCCGAGGCAGGAGAATCACCGTGAGCTGGAGGCCAGCCTGGGCTACACAGTGAGTTCAAGGCCAGCCTGAACTGCACAGAGAGACCCTATCTCAAAAAACCCAAAAAAGAAGGAAAGAAACTGAATCCACACCAACGCTGCAGAGCACGAATCCGTCGTGCACCCTGCTGGGAGGACTGGTGGGGCAATTCCCACGCCCGGCCCGGAGCAGGATTTCCTTATCCGGTCTGGGCATCTGTCCCAGAACCCTTGGGAGTGCTAGCAGGCGAGCACTTGGCCCTGCAGAAGGCGCGGCGTGCGTGCTCTGTGCAGAGTGCATGAACGAGTGAACTCGGGAGTGAAAACCCTAGTGATAACTTACGGGAACGCCCTGTGTGTAGACACAGCTACCAGAAAAGATGCAGCATCCGGCTCCGTTGTACCCGCGTGGCCACAGCAAGGTTATGGGCCGCATGCCTGTGCCCTCAGGAGGAGGCAACAGGGCCAGTGTAACCGACACAGAAGCCGTGGGCGGTCCAGGCCTCTGCTTCACGGCTCCTGGCTGCGTGGCCTTATGCGAGTCACTGGGCTTCTTCCAGGGCTCGGTTTCCCTGAGTGCAAATCCCTCCTACCACAGTCACTGCGAGGGGTGGAGGCGCTGAGTGTGGCCAGTGGCTCTGAGTCGCCTCCTCTTAGGAAAGCATGAAAGCGACACTGAGCCCACGGCCTCGAAGGCCCGTCTGCTCACCCCTGCCTTTAGGTCAGGCCCTTTCTCTGTAACCACTGTCACCACATGCATTATCAAAGACAGGGATGAGGCATGGAGGGGCAGGGCTACGTCCGCTGAGCGCTTCCCAGCAGAGGCTGCTGAGAGCACATGTCTCCCAAATCTCTGTGAGGTGGAGATGCGCGGCTGTGCCAGCCCCGCCGCTGCCTTTGGTGCCCTCCAGGCCGTTCTGACTCCACCTGTCTGTCAGAGCGCCAGGACACCTGCTCACCTATGCCAGCGTGCAGTGCAGGCTCAGGCCCTGGGGGGTTCCTCACACAGATGCAGCACTGCAACGACGTGTTTAAGGAAGGACCAGGCCCCAGATGAGGTCCAGGGGTCCCCACTTCTCTGCTAGCCACTGAGCACCCCAGCCAGCCTTCACCTGCACTTCCTCCCACAGCATCACCACCCCTGTGCCCAGGGCCGCTGCTGATGCCTGAACCCATTCATGGAAAATCTAGAATGTTCTGGAAGCCTGGAGAGCCAGGACGACTCCCTTAGAATCATGAGCGGTTCTGGGGCTGGCGGGGGATGCTTTGTGATGAATAATATCTGCCGTCCTCATTTCAAACTTACTCCGACTTGTTTTGGAAAATTTGAAAATGCAGGCTGGCAAAAAGGAAGTCAAAGCGTCCATGACCCCATCATGGGGAGATGAACACACCACCGGTGCACACACGTGCACACACACGCACACGGATGGCTTCTTACTCAGACCGCACGGTCCTGTTTTGTAGCCTGCTGGCTCCACATACCACACAGAGATCTTTCCGTGCCAGTGCACAGGCTCTTGCTCCTTTGCTTTTAATGACCGCCCAGTGTATGCCGACACAGACATGTTCTTGTCAATTTGTCCTGGTTTTTCCCCCTGCCTCTGATTCCACGATGTAAACCACTGCTCATTGCAAGAAAGTACAAAGGTTTAGGCAATTAGAAGCTCTTCATTAAAAATGAGCAGAGCGTCCACAGCCCTCTGGTGGGGCGGGGGCACAGTCCCCATCCTTCTGAGATAGCAACCTGGCCATTAGCCAGTTGGATTGCGGACATGGAAAAGAGGACATCCCCGGTGGATGTCTTCGGGGGCGGAGATGCTTTTAAAAAAATAATAGAAGAAAAGGTTTTGTAATTGTTTGTGAGGCTCAGTGGCAAAATAAGATGGAGCCCTTGATTTCTTACCTCCTGCTGCAAGTTCAAAATTCCTCCCAGAGAGGCAAGCAGGAAGCAAACTGAAGCACTCTGATTGTAAGATTTGCATCCTCTTCTGGCTGGTTATTGTCCCAAAGGACATTTCACATTATACTCTGCTTGTCTCTAAAGATCTTTCGCCCAAGACAAACCACTTCTCAAGATGCTGCTGATGTGGAGGCTAGAAAAACACAGAAGGGGCATGAAAAATACTGAAGTCCTGGGAGGAACTATAATGGATTTAAGGGTGGCCACTGTCAGCCCTGGAACCCTTCATGTAGCATCTGGTTCAGAGCCCCAGTTAGGTAAATAATGGGGAAACGCAGCAACAAGAGGAAAAGCCAAGCGTTGTTAATTAATGAAGCATGTTTGTTCAATGTGCTTTTTAGGGGATTCACCACAGGCATCAAGAATCAGACATGAAAGAAGCCCTACTTCCACACACGGGCGCCAGCAGGGGAAGGCCACAAGATGCCAATAACTTGGGAGACACAGTGTGATGAGTGTCAGGCCGGGCACATGTGGGCAAGGCACATGCACAGGTGTGGCCCCACTGCCCGCCAGTACTGGGGAGGCTTCCAAGGGAAAGGAGGGGGTGTAGGGCCATGGAGGGGGGCAGGTGTCCCGGGAAGAAAGCATTCTACACACAGAGTCCGGGGCAGGAAATGGTCCTGGGAGCCACCCCTGGCCAGGTAGCACCGAGCGGGAGGGTGCAGACTCAGGAGGAGAAGCTGGTGCAAGGCTGGGGGTGGCATCCTGGGAAGGAGGGGCTTTATGCGGCACAGGAGGAGCTGCTGGGTTATAAGCTGGCGGCAATTCGCACTAGCGCGGCTGTTTCAGGAGACAGGGAGTTGGCCAGACTGGAGCTGCAGACAAATGAGGAGTCTTGTAACACTGCAGCAAGAAGGAATCTGGCCTCACAAAGGACACTGACAGTGGCAGTGGAGAAAGAGAGCCGTTCGAGGGATTACTGAAGAGATGGCACCAACAGGGCTGAGTGGCCAGTTGCCATGGGCTGGGGGAGACAGGAGGACAGAGAACAGCAAAGAGCAAGTCGCTGGCAAAACAAAGCCCCCAGGGATGCTGAGGAGGCTGCCATGTGGGGCAGGTGATGGAGCAGGAGCCCCTTCTGTAGACACAGGGCAGACGAGAGAACAGTGCGGGTAGAACAGATTCCAGTCGTGCTGCCACAGACTCATCTGCAGGAGACAGGCAAGCGAGGGAGTCCCCAGGAGCCCACTCCATGTGGAACAGGAGGAGGCAGCTGAGAAGGAGGCAGCAAGGCAGGAGGTGGGGCTCCAGGACAGAGCCCAGTTTCAGCGCTGTAACAAGGAGCAAGGATGCTCACCACATCTCTCCACCATGGGCTTCTGCCTTGGAGCCAGCTGACCATGGACTGAACCCACTGAGACTGTGAGCCCAGTTAAACCTCTCCTCCATTCAGTTGTGGAGGTCAGGTATTTTGTTCCAACAAGGGGAAAGTGCCTAATACAGTGAGGGCCTTCGACAGTGAAAATCAGTAATTAACTGAAGGCCCCTGAGGCCAGCTGAGACAGAGGCCAGAGTCCAGGACAGCAGCTCCCTCCCTTGGGGCTCAGTGGACAGGTAAAGGACAGGTAGAGAATGGCTCTGACATGAAGATCTGGCCATGCTCCCCTCAATTCCAGCAGGAAACTTGTAACACTCCAGCAAGAAATGACTCAGTCTCACACAGGACGATGACAGCAGCAACAGGAAGGACACTGTTGAGAGTAAGAGTGATCACAGAGCTGCCCAGGAAGAAAGGGAACCCAGGACCGGCTGAGAGAGACACAGGAACAAGGACACAGGGCCACTAAAGCAGCGGTGATCGGTTGTGGCAGCAAGCACGAGCAAGCGAGAGGGGCCATGGACTGTGGTCTGAAGTCAGCAGCTGGAGCGGCAGACGCCGAACCTGGAGCAGCCCCGGGATGGCACTGTGTAGGACGTGACCCAGAAGCAGGTGGCTGAAGTGTCCACAGAGGGAGGACAGGGGCCTCTGCACTGGAGGAGGGTCTGTGATTGGCCCCATTCTCAGGCTGGGACAGACAGAGCTGCCCACTGGGGAGCCTGGCCATGAGGTCCAGCATGGGCCTGCCTGGCCAGCTGCCACCCTGAGCACTGGACGAGGTACTGGAGAGGCGGCTGTCCCAGAAGAAGCACTGGTGCCTGAAACCAGGGACAGTGAAACTGGAGGCACCAAAAGATACCCACACCAAAGGGGAGAGCGATCTCCTACAGGAACCTGGAAGCCCCTTAAAAGACTAGTGGAGGGACCAGGGATTTAGCTCAGTGGTTCTGCTGCCTGCCTCGAAAGTGCAAGGACCCGAACTCGATCCTCTGTACAAAAAAAAAATACTGATGGAGGATTTGAGCCCTGCCGAAATCAAGTTTGATCAAGAAGAGTCTGGTTGGAACAAAGGGGTCCCCAGTTAGGGATGGCTGTGTCCCCCAGTGCTTTTAGAGCTGCCTGAGGGTTCCTGGTGTGAGTTCGTGGTTAAGGGACTGATTGATTCCTCCCATGGGAACAAGGCCAGCTCCCTTGCACAATCCCCAAAGCCAAGCCATTTCCAGAACCACGGGCTGCCCGAGAAAAGCATGGCTCTCTAAGACTGCCAGAGCTTCTGAGTGTGGCAAAGGGCCCCGAATCCGGCTCATCCGGCACTGTTTGGCCCACATTACCTGCCCAAGTGGCACCCAGCAGTTCCGAATCCGTCCTGCCTTGTAACTCTGCGCTCTCATGAGGCGTCCCCGGCATTCTCTGCCACTTGGTAGCTGTAGAGCTCGAACGCCTGGTGTTTGCCAAATCTTACCTCTTCCAGCTCAGTCTGAACTCCTGAGGCCTTGGCACCAGCGCGCCAAGTGCACGCCCTTTATCTCGAGGTCCCCCTCGACTTTTACGAGGGATAACTCTCCCCGTAAACGCCAGCCATGGGGCAGTGGGGCAGGGGTACAGAGCGTGGGCACAGGGCCCGGGGGCTGCAGCTCCGCCCACGCCCACTTCGGTGCCCGCCTCGGCCTCCCCACAGGTGCGCGCAGGCGCTGCTGGAGCACGGCGCCTCAGTGCAGCAAGTTGGGGGCGCGGGCCAGGACACCCCGCTGCACGTGGCGGCTCAGCGCGGCCTGGACGAGCACGCGCGCCTCTACCTGGGCCGCGGGGCGCGCGTGGACGCGAGGAACGGCCGCGGCGAGACGGCGCTGAGCGCGGCTTGCGGCGCGGCGCGGAGACCCGAGGATCAACCGCGCTGCCTGCGCCTGTGCGCGCTGCTGCTGCAGCACGGCGCGGCCCCGGACACGCGCGACGAGGACGAGCGCAGCCCGCTGCACAAGGCCTGCGGCCACGCGCACCACGTCCTGGCGCGCCTCCTGCTGCAGCACGGCGCCGACGCGGGCGCGCTGGACTACGGAGGCGCCTCGCCGCTGTCCCGCGCGCTGCAGACTGCGGCCTGCGCGCCCCCGGCCACGGCACAGCGCACAGTGCAGGCGCTGCTCAACCATGGATCCCCCACCGTGTGGCCCGACGCGCTCCCCAAGGTAAGGCGGGCCCCGCGGGGCTGGCATGCACCACGACTGGTCGAGGGGCACCCTTGGGGATTTGCCACGCAGCTCCCGGGCCAGAAAGGGGGCAGCATGCTGCGCATCAAACTTTCACGGCCCCAGACCTCTCCTGGAGAGGGAGTTTGCATTTCTACCAGCTCCAAGGTGAAGGCAATGCTGCAGGTTTGGGGAACCCCACTTTGAGGAGCAGGGGTTTGGGAACCTCCCACTGGCTGGGTCACCGGAAAAGTAAGAGGTTGGAATGACCATGAGCAGACCAGAGCCACCAGCTTTTCAATGATGCCCCCAAAATATTTTGTCAGCTCATCTTTTGATGTAATTTTCAGGATGAGGAAAGTCAGCCTGTTGCATCTGGCATCTGATCTGAAATGAAATTGTCCAACCTGACCAGCCACTTTGTTAATGATAGCACTTCAATTGGGTGTGGTGGTGCATGCCTATAATCCTAGCACTCAGGAGGCTGAGGCAGGAGGATTGCTGAAGGTTTGAGGCCAGCCTGGGGTACACAGTGAGTTCAAGGCCAGCCTGAAGTACATAGCGAGACGCTGTCTCAAAAAAAACTAAAGAAAAGAAAGAAAAAAATGATAGCACTTCACACCTTCGCACGCTTCTCCCATTCCGTCCACACCACACTGCTGTGAAATCTGCCTGGCAGACGCTGTTTCCATCCACCCAGGATAAACCCGCGTGATGCGCCCTGTTCAGGTCATCATCTCATGGAGATCTCAACTCTGTATGCCAGCTTTTTGCCCTTGCAGGCTTGACTCTGAGCATCTTGTCACTTTTTCCACCTGCCACATTTACTCTGAAATAATAATAATGAACAAAGACTACCCATCAGAAAAAATAGCCAAAAGACTGAATGTGTTTCCAAAAGTCCCCTAAATATTGGTTGGGAGAAGAGATTGTCTTCCCCCAAAGATTTCGTTGAAGGAAATCATTCCCTTGGGTGTAAAATTTTGGTGCACTTAATTTAAATATCACTGCTGTCACCCAAAGCATACTAGTCACATGCAAAAGACATATTTTGGCCCGGTAAGTTTTGAACAGATACCTGAAAAGCTACTATCCAAAAAAACACCGTTCCAGACAGTTTGAAGTAATGGGATTCCCACACTTCTTTCAAATGCTCGCTGGGCATTACAGCTGTGTTAAGAGCGAAGAGTGTGTCTACACACAGAAGGTGAAAAGTAGAAACTCCACTGGGACAAATCCCCGAGTTTCCTCACTTGACAAACACAATGACCCTCTTCTGATGCTGCCTTGCCCGGTCCTCACATAATTCTCCTGTGAGGCTCTGCCAACATCTCCGGGTGTCAGACTCCAGATTGGGGTGGGGGTGATGCCAGCAATCATATTCTGCACGTCCATTGCCGTTCGTAGTTTGCATCCTAGCATCCAGATCTGGTGGCCTGAACTGTCCCCAGGGCTGTAGGAATTCCGCCGTGACCTGGAGAGGCAAGAACTAGGCCCCCTCTGAGGCTCCCAGAGCTCTGTTCTGAGGTCCCCAGTGCTGTGTGAGCCACGCGTGAGTGGGGTGTAGTCAGCTACCACTCACTGTCCAGGTCGGGCATGTATGTATGTGGGCTTACGGGACAGTGGTAGACCAGGGGGTGAGAATCTCTATCAATGCCGCGCCAGTGAGGAAAGAATTGGACTTTCTTTGAGAAATCTGATTACCTGGATGCTTTCACCGAAAAGTTTATTGGCCACCGTTACCTGCCTTGCGCTTAGTATAGGCAGACCTTCAGTCAGTGCTGAGCGAATGCAAGGGATTCCTCCAGCTCCAGACCACCGCCCTGCGTTAGAGCTCTGGACGTGCACGGTCTCGCCTCCTTGCACAGACATCCCTGTGCCTCTAGGGGGCGCCCCGATGCCTGACCAGGATGCCTGTACCACTTCGAGGATCCTTAGAGAAGTGCAGTTCTAACCTTGTCCTCCCCCAGACTGCCAGACAGGATGCTGTGGAGAGCTGGAGACAGCATCTTCCTCTGCTCAGGCTCCCTGTGAGTTTCCCCCGAAAAGGGGTCCGACCCCCCAGCCAGGCATCAAAAGGACAGCGTGCAGGCTCAGCAGCCCTGTGGGGCCCAGCATGCACGCTCTGAGTCCAGGACTCGGGGCCACAGCAAGGAGAGCGCCGAGCTGCAGGGTGTCGCAGAGCACTGGCCTGTGGGCAGCAGCCATGCTTTACATAGATGTAAGGAGACACCTGTGGAGCTCAGAATTACTGAGGCAAAAGGTTTCACAGTGACTATGACATAAATCACAGTTCATGCCCGGACAAAGCCACCATCCCCCCGCAGAGCCTCCTCCGAGCCTGACACAGGCCTGGGCCTCCAGAATCAAAGGGTGGCCCAGCTTCCGAAGCCAGTGCATTGACGGCGCCAGGCCAGTCTGCCCGGCTGCCCACTGGCTCCTCCCAGAGGCAGAGACGGCTGGAGCTGGCACAGGTAGCTGCTGCAGCCGGGTTTGAATTCCACAAGCTGTCAGGGTGAACCCAGCACCTGGGAGGCAGAGAGACAGCCGAGGATGTGGTGCCAGCGTGCCAGGCACCTGCCGCCAGCTGACCTCGTGCATTTCCTGCTTGATGTGGAATAAAGGCCTCTGGTCTCTCTTCCTGCCCCTTCCTGCCTGGAAGAGGAAGCTGAGACACAGTAGAGAAGCCGCAGGTCCCTGCCTTCACTCCTCCCAGCTGTTTCAAAAGCGGATCTCTGGTTCCAGCCTGGAAGAGAAGGTTGGAGCCGCAGAGACTCGGAGATGCTCACATCCAGTCCCCCCACCAGGTACACAGCCTCTCAAAGTCACAGAGCTGGAAGCGGCAGTGGCACCTGGCCCCAGGTCCCCTGGTGCAAACCTCTGCCCTCTCTGCCTCCCCTCTTGTGTTCAGGTGGGGCCGCCTCCAGGGGGCGCTCAGACCGAGCAGCCTGCTCCATTTGTTCCCTGCACTCAACCACAGCTGTCATTTGCATCCAACCTGCATGACCAACCCCGATCCCAGGTGTGCTCCTTCCCAAGCCTTCCCTGACCTGAGAGTCTTGGCCGGTGGATCGCACCTGCAGGTGGTCTGGGGCACAGCACCAGCCGTGAATGATTTCCCCAAACCAGCAGGGACACCGCCCTCCCAGGGCCATCTCTGAAGTGCTTATTTACTTATTCATTCAACAAACGTTTCTTGGAAACTCCTGTGCTGGAATTACGATAGGGAACATGTGGTGCTGCCTGTCTGGCAGTTGGACACACGTACACACGTACACATACACACACATGTGTGAAGCTGCCACGGTGAGAAGCACTGCGAGGCCAAGGACCGCAGCATCTTGGAAGTGCCACGTGGGCCCAAACTTGGCTGGGAGCTGAGCGGCTCCCCAAGCACATGATGATTGAGCCCAGCTCCCAAGGCTGAAAATGTGGCTGTGTGAGGAGAAGGAACAGCACAAGCCAATGTCCTGGGGCAGAACATGCTCTGCAATGTGTCCAGACAGAAGGAGGCCCAGCAGCTGGGGAGGAACCAGGAAGAGGGAGCAGGTGTGACTGGCAGACAGGGAAGGGCTTTGTTAAGGCCCTTGGGCTTCGCCTTAAGGACAGAGCGAATCTGCTGTGTCGTTTTAGGTGGAGGAGGTAGCGTCGTCATCAAATTTGGGTTTGCACATGATTTCTCTGCTCACGAGACACACCGGAGAAGAAAGGCCACAGGCAGGGAGGAAATCCGGCAAGGGCTTGAACAGTGAGGGTGGAGGTTGGTGGCAAAAGGAACGGACTCTAGACACACCAGCATACCTTGGCCTGGCCTCCCCTCTGGACACTGATGATTCTAACAAAAATAATACCTGCTGGTGCACACCTGTAATCCCAGCACTCAGGCTGAGGCAGGAGGACTGCCACAAATTCAAGGCTAGCCTCGGCTGTGTAGTGAGTTCAAGGCCAGCCTGGGCTGGCTACACAGCGAGACCCCGTCTCAAGAAACAAACACAGGAAGCTCAGTTGTCCTCATTTCTTTTTCGCCTAACCCAGAACAAGGCAACGTGACTTCACCATTACCCCAGTCTCACTGTTTCCGGTTCGGAGTCCTGGGGAGTGGTAGTCAAAAGCCAGGCCTCCATCTCCTGCGCTGGGCTTCCCCAGGAGAGGCGCCGTGGGAAGCGCATGCCTCTTTTCTTGCCCTTGTTTGATTCCTCCATCTACATATAAAGCAGTGTGCCCGTGTGGTTTTCCCCTTAATTTTCTTTCTGCCGCCTCATTAGCTGAAGAGAGGGCGCGCGGACACTAATGACATCAGCATGTCAGAGTAATGTGGCAGCCGCCTCTCTGCAGACAGCGCGGAGGCAGTAGAGATTTTTAAACTGTGTTGGCGTAAAAATAATGAAGGCAGCCAGCTGCCTGGCAAACATGAGGGGCACGAAGCAGAGGGGCCGGGGAGGGGCGGGAGCCCCAGAGAGGTAGAACAGAGGAGACAGAAAATGAATTCCCAGAGACAGGCAATAAGGCTTTGTCACACTCTGTGACCCAGGGTGGGGGCGGGGAGGAGGTAGCGCCCGGGCTTCAGTGCCAGGGGAAGGCAGCCCTGCCCAAGCGGGGGACGGGCGGGGGACATCTGTACTGCATGTGGTCCCTGAGCCACTTGACATCTTGCAGAGAAGTCACAGGGCCAGTCAGGGTCCCTGGCGGGTCGAGGTTAGTGAGGCCCAAGGAGGCAGAAAATGCCCAGGACAAGAGCTAAATGGGACCAGACTGGGACACCCCCCCCCACCGTGTGATCCTCCCCCAGCAAAGAGGGGCGTCTGGAATGAGGGGAGATGGCACGTTAGTGAGGCTGTGGGTGTCCAGGGCACACGGTGGGCTGGCAAGCTCGGAAGATGCGTCCCAGGCCCGCGGGCTGTCTGCAGCCCAGCCTCTGTGTCCCTTGGGCTTGCTTTCTCTGCAGTCTGCTGAAGCCTGACTCGGTGGCAGTGACAGATTGAGGGGAAGAGGGGGGAAAG